CAGGTATACTCTCAATTACCTAGCGAATCCACGCCCGAATTGAACCAACCTCTATGTGTCTCTTCCAACCCCGTCTTCACTTCGGAATTGTTTTGACGATGAGCCACTTCAGAATCCACCAAAGCTTCAGGCTCAAATTCTTTAGAATCCATCGAAGAACAACTCTCTCTTTTGTGTAGAATAAACAAATAATCCTTTGATGTATACTCTTTAAACCATGAGTTGAATACTCAATCAAAACATCAAAGAAAACTAGCAAAATATCCCCAGATATAAACCCTAGAACCCAAGAAGAAGATCTAGAGAAGTAATCCCTAAAAATCTAAGTCCAAACCTCTTTCTCCTCTACCTCTCCTCTCTTTGTCCTCCACCTCTCCTCTAACGATGCTCCCACCGACTGCCACGACCACCAACCACCCCAACACCATCACCTCTCATCTACTCTCGCCCTCATTTATTGTCTCTCTTTTTCAATGGCTATTTGTTCGGCCAAATTAGAATGGCCCGTCCCCATTCTCTCTCTCTCTCTCTCTCTCTCTCTCTAAAATCTAATATCTCTTCGTATATATCACCACTTTCCAATTTTTTTTATTTTTTATTAAACCCATCTTGATTGCTCCCCATCTCATTTTCTCTCTCTTAGATTTTCATTCTCTACAAATCACAATTTTTTTTTTAATCACAACCCATCATTCACAATTGATTAATTAAACCCATCATCCCAGACCCACAATTTTTTTTTTAATCACAACTCATCCTCCACAATTGATTAATTAAACCCATCATCCCAGACCCACAATTTTTTTTTTAATCACAACTCATCCTCCACAATTGATTAATTAAACCCATCATCCCAGACCCACAATTTTTTTTTTAATCACAACTCATCCTCCACAATTGATTAATTAAACCCATCATCCCAGACCCACAATTTTTTTTTTAATCACAACTCATCCTCCACAATTGATTAATTAAACCCATCATCCCAGACCCACAATTTTTTTTTTAATCACAACTCATCCTCCACAATTGATTAATTAAACCCATCATCCCAGACCCACAATTTTTTTTTTAATCACAACTCATCCTCCACAATTGATTAATTAAACCCATCATCCCAGACCCACAATTTTTTTTTTAATCACAACTCATCCTCCACAATTGATTAATTAAACCCATCATCCCAGACCCACAATTTTTTTTTTAATCACAACTCATCCTCCACAATTGATTAATTAAACCCATCATCCCAGACCCACAATTTTTTTTTTAATCACAACTCATCCTCCACAATTGATTAATTAAACCCATCATCCCAGACCCACAATTTTTTTTTTAATCACAACTCATCCTCCACAATTGATTAATTAAACCCATCATCCCAGACCCACAATTTTTTTTTTAATCACAACTCATCCTCCACAATTGATTAATTAAACCCATCATCCCAGACCCACAATTTTTTTTTTAATCACAACTCATCCTCCACAATTGATTAATTAAACCCATCATCCCAGACCCACAATTTTTTTTTTAATCACAACTCATCCTCCACAATTGATTAATTAAACCCATCATCCCAGACCCACAATTTTTTTTTTAATCACAACTCATCCTCCACAATTGATTAATTAAACCCATCATCCCAAACTCTCAATTTTTTTTAATCAAAACCCATCCTCCACAATTAATTTTTTAAACCCATCATACCCATCTCATCTCATCTCGCTCTCTCTCTCTCTGGTCATTAATTAAACTAATTTTTTAAACCCATCATTAACTTTTTTTTTAATCATGCTCATCTCATTCTCTCTCTCTCTGTCATTTGTTTTCAGGTCATTTGTTTTTTCTATCCATCCAAATTGAAGAGCCAAGCACCAATAGATGCTCTACCACTTTCAAATCCACTACTTTTTAATATTTCAACCTTATCCACAACACTTTTTTAATATTTCACCCTTTTTTTTTTCTTCAACCCACCTGGCATGTCTCTCACGGTCATTATTTTTATTTTATTTTATTTCATTACTATAACCCGGGCCATTCCCACTCAAATATATATATATATATATATATATATATTATGTAACTCAATCACCTTATCATTTTTATTTATTTATTTATTTTTTTCTGATGGCAATGTCCACCTACTTTTGCCCCACAACTTGTGGAAAGTAGTTGAAGCTTCACAAAACCCAAAACAAGAATGCAAGCATGGCTTCGATCATGTGTGAGGCAATGTGTGGCGGCAGATTCCAAATGGATTTGTTTTTCCCAAAATTTTTTATTTTGTATTTTAAAGATTGAGCCTACTAAAAAACACACCACTAAAAATACTAATGAGCGGGAAAAAAAAAAAAACAAAAACAAAAACAAACAAACAACCATTACATCAAGAGAGAGCCACCTCATTAGTGCTCCTTCTATAGTATTCTCTTTTTAGTACTCCCACGCATTAATCTTTCAATATTCACCCATTACTACAATAAAATTAATAAGAGATCGTTTGACATTGTTAACATAGTTAGTTTTTTTGTGTTGAAATTTTTTTAATTTAGTTTGATTTTTGTTTTGGGGTTTTTTTGATTTTTGTGAAAGAAAAAGTACAATAATTATGAATAAAAAGTAATATTTTGTCTTATTAACTTATATAGTTTTTTTTGTCTTTTTATGCTTTTTTAACCCCAATAAGAAAGTCGAACGAGGACTAAGATGAATTACACTAACGGTCCTATAGTTTGGGTCTGTCACTTTGATATCTGACTTTTCAATTGTGATATATTTAATCCTGAATTTTGAATCTTGTTCCAAATAAGAACAATTAAATATATCATTGCTCAATTTCGAGGACTAAGTTGTTAATTTGATAAAATATAAATTAATTTAACAAAAATAAATGTTAAAAGTATTTTCAAATTTTTAAAAATTACTTCTACCCACCAAAGATAAAATTATGTAAAATTGATATTTAGACATTTATTATTTTTTTTACCAAATTAATTTTTATCATGCGTTTAGATGATGATCATGTAATGGGTAGTTGTTTTTATTTTTATCAATTTTACATAATTTTATCTTTAGTGGGTAGAAATTATTTTTAAAAATTTAAAAATATTTTTTTAATATTTATTTTTGTCAAATTAGTTTATATTTTATCAAATTGACGACTTTGCCCTTAAAATTGAGCAAAGATATCTTCAATTGTCCTTATTTGGAAGGAAATTCAAAATTCATGGTCAAATATTTCACAATTGAAAAATTAATGATCAAAGTGACACAAGTCCCAAATTATAGAAACTATTAGTGTAATTCGCCCAAATTTATAATAACATCTAATATTTTGTAACATAAATAATAATGTTATCTCACCGTAAATCATAATAATTTTATGTTAAATCATTTTCAAAAAAAAAAAAAAAAGGGTTAGAGGGTGGTTAGGTGGAAAATGCAGTTTTTTTGGATTTTTTTTTTTTTTTTTTGGTTAGACAAATTTAAATTGAATTCTGTTAAAATGTAATCTTCTCACAAGGCAATGAGAGAGAGAAGAAAGATAATGACAGTGGTGTGATTTGTTTAAAGAATAAAAAAAGAGTTTTTTTTTTTTTTTTTTGAACTTTTTTACCCACCTTAGTGACAAAGGCCACAAGACATATTCTTACAATAAATTACTTTTTACAGTTTTTACTTTAATTTTATTGGGTGCACTTTTATCCAAATAATTTTACAAAATTAATTTAAAAGCCAAAACTAGATCTGTATTTATATTTTGACCTTAAACTTTTAGCAATGAATTTAATAAATTACATTTTAATTTAATAATTTTATTTTTAATTATATTTTAATCTCGTGGCATACACTAGTACTTGTATATCTTAAGATTAAGTTTAAGGAGGTCCAGAACCACTAAAGCTACTGTCCAAAAAAATAATAAGAAATTTGTCCATATTTCAAACCTGTAATGGAGATCCAAGAGGTGTTTTTTAGGTCCATGCATAAAATAAATTTAAATAATGTTGAATAAAATTGAGGTATTTATTCATAAATTCTTTTTTTATCTATTTATATTTAGTCTAAATTATTTTTTTATATTCCAATATGTGTATGGGTGACATCGTTACTAAGATATCCCTAACAATAATAGGGTAAAGCGCATTAATGTTAACAGTATGAATTTACCGTGATGTGAACATTCATACTATCAAATATAAATGTTCACATCACTAAATTATTAAGGATTCAAAAAATATTTGTGAGTGTACAACTGCTAAAAAAATACCTTAAATATGATAATTAGAATTGAGTGAATCAAATGTCCAAATAATTAGACTTAAAATACAAGAATATATTATGTATTAATTCAGATACAAATACTTAATAAGATTTCCTAATAAATTTCTTAATAAAATATTGAGTATATATTATTATTATTCGGTGCAGGACACACAACTACGCTCATATTCATACCGTCAATGTAACATATACTAACTTAGCTTTCGTCAAATTAATGCAAATTTGAAACAAGGAAATAACATTGTATTTGGATATAGATTTCAATAGAAATTTGAAAATAAAAGAGAAATGTCAATGTAGGACTTTTCTTAAGTGTGCAACTTACACCTTACACTTACGCCTTTTCTGTTTGCTGTCATGTTTCATGTTTACACCTTCCACTTATACCTTTTGTGTTGGTTGCATGTGGTGTGCAACCTTAAGGGGTTGCACACCATAACAGGACCCGTCAATGTAACATATACTAACATAGCTTTCGTCAAATTAATGCAAATTTGAAACAAGGAAATAACATTGTATTTGGATATAGATTTCAATAAAAATTTGAAAATAAAAGAGAAATGAAAAAAAAATTATATTTTTATTAACAATGTTCTCACTATTTCCCTTTCTTTTTTTTTTTTCCTTTTTTCTTTTTTTAAATTCATATCTAAATTTATGATTCAAAGAGCTTGATTTGAAAAAGAAAAGGAACTTAGGTAGATTTGTACCTCTCAAACGATGTCAGGAATAACCCATCTAGATATGAAGGATAAAATTCCAACACCATCAATCTTACTCAATCCGAAGTCCTGGTAAGATAGAGATATTTAACTTTGAATGAAGGGTGTACAGAAAAGAAAATTTTGCAGAAATACGAAAAAATCATGAAGGAGGCAACACTTTGCTTTAATCCTGTCTTGATGCCAAGAAGATCTACAAAAATATTCACAGAAACTTAAAGAGCACATAATTTAAATAAATAAGTCCGCAAAATAAAAAGAGATACCTCTAAGATCCCAAGATTTTAGCACCATGTGAGAGTTTAAATATCTTTCCTTGTCACCAGCAAGATTCACTAGAATTTCCAAATCAATTGTCTTCAGCTTTGCATAGCTTAATGTCTTACCAAACCTTAACAATAAAAAAATGAAAACTATTAGCTTTTGCAAAGTATATTTATCAAGTTGAAACAGAACATGATCAACCCATAAAGAATGAGAAATGAAACAATAACTAATCAATCAAAGTTTTGATGTAAAAGTTTATAGTGGTTTGTTTAAACGAAAGGATGAGATCAAACAACAATTGTTTAAGCAAAGAATAGCTCACCTTAGCTTTTTGCTCACCTACATCTGCAGATCTTGCAAATTGTAATAATGAATAGAAGAGGAAATATATATACGGCAGGTTAGTTTTCACAAGTAGGTTGACTGCTATTGTCAGTAAAGCGATTAAAAAAAATTATGTTTGTTTGATAAATAGTAGATTAAGAATAATTTTTGTTTGTTTTGAGAGGGTGAGATTAATTATGTAGATAAGCCTGGAAGACAAGGTTTTGTCTGTCAAGGTTCCCACAGACGGCGCCAATTGTGCGGGGAGCAAATATTCAGGCAAGCCCGCACTCCTTCCTTCCAGGCTCCGTTTCTATCCGATCACCTGCGAGCAAATAACGGTGAGCTACCCGGCGGTGTGTGGCCGGAAAAACCCTCCGACGATCAAGTTAGACACAGGGATAGAGAGAGAGAGAGAGGAGTGTTTGAGTATAAGAGTTTCCTTACAAAATGTTCCTGTGTCCAGTATGGGGGGGCGCAGACATGCTTATATACCCTTCTGCGCCCTAAATCTGCTCCCAGTGCCCTCTCAACACGTGGCACTACTATCCCATCTGTTAACATAAACCTTGCTGAGCACCACCTAACCCTACTGCCTACCCATTCTCCTGGGAGCTCGGCAGCCGGGCAATACCATCTCGGCCACAATCTGCCATGCTGCACTTCATGCCCAAGTACTCCAACAGCTAAGCTCAGATGATGAGGACTAGACTTGGCGAAATCCCGGCAAAGCCGAGCTGGGGTCAACTCACGCTTGTCTACGGTCAATCCACCTGCCGAGCAAACGGGTACCTCGGTCCAACCTTGCCTTTCCTGGCGCTGGACTTTTCACCTGACCGGCTCCGCAACCACGGATCCTTGCAGCTCGGTCAATCCATGCCCTGCCTTAACCGAGCAGCTTCCTTCAAGACTGGGCCACACAACTTGGCCCAACACCTGTTTGGCCCAAATCTGTCTGGCACAACTCTGTCCGGCCCAATTCCACGGCCCAATTCCACGGCCCAATCCGGATCATAAATCTCCCTCTCAAATATATATATATATATTTGGTACTATTTTATTTTTTTAATATAATTTTTTGTTGGTATAAATATTATTATACCATTATATTTTTATATTAAATTATTTTGATATAAAAAAGGTGGAGTAAAAAATAGTGGAATAATTAAAAAAAAAATAGTAAAAAAAAGACCATACTAATCAAGTAGAGTAAGTAAATTAGGTAAGACAATAGAAGGCAAAATAGTAAATCCTCCTCTAATCCCAAGGGATTGTTTTTCTAATACCAGCATCCATGGAAAAAATTACTAATTACATCCATGCAGACCTATCATAGTCCCAAGATATTGTGAATCTCCCTTTCCATTCTATAAATAAACATAATAGTAGTGGACTCCACATCCATCCTTGACAATCCTAAGTGATTCGTGATTAGATCAAGATTTAATTACTTCAATTCCTAATCATTCAAAACACATAATCTAAATCATCAAGCACTTACGAAGCACTTACGAAAGTGATTTAGATTGTTGTTTTCAAAATAACACAATAAATCGACACAAACGATTTTTACATGGAAAAACCACAATTGAAACACTTTCAATTGTGATAAAAAAAACTACAGGCGAAACACCACTAATCAATCCACTACTGAAGAAAGAAAGATTACAAAGATAATAAACAAATTACCAAACGCATCCAATTTGTCTTCAACCCTTCTGTAAATCTTTCGCCAAGCCTTCATCTCGGAATTGATTAACCTGAAGTTGAATCCACAACTTCACTTGTCGAATCAACGACTACACACAGTATCAAACTCCTTTGAAACTCCACGTTTGAATCTCCAGAATCCACCGAAGAAGAATACTCTCGAATATAACCAATCAACCTCCCTGATATGTGCTTATCAATACATGAGTTTAATACTCACTCAAATCATCAAGGAAAACTCACAAAAGAAAACCTCAGAAAACCTTAAAGTAGATCTCAAAAACCTAATCCTAATTTTGGACTAAAACTACTACTTATAGAAATCTGGGACAGCGAAGCTCGCTCGAGCGAAGACTCTCTCGCTCGAGCGAGGAACTAATCTCGCGTGTTTTTTCATAAGTGGCTTCGCTCGAGCCATACAACCTTCGCTCGAGCGTACATTCATCCTTCTCAGGTTTTTGCCAGACGCAGCCTTCACTCGAGCAAGGACTCATTCGCTCGAGCGAGCAAGACAAAACAGCAAGGAAATTTACAACTCAATAACTCAAGTTTGTCCACGGGATTGACAAGACTAAGGGACCTAACAATCCTAATCTAATCTCATTTCCTATAACCCAAAACAAACGGACCCATAATATGCCCAACATTTATCTAGAGTCAAACACGCCCCTAAGTTAAACTTCACTTACGATATCTAAACCCAATTACAAACTTGATTGTAGGTGTGACCAAACACCACCTTTCAACTCAAAAATAAAAAATAAAAAATAAAAATTGCAGATTTTTGTTTCATTTTGTCTTCGTTCTTCGCTCTCTAACTTCTTTCTACCTTTCTCTCATTTTCCCTTACTTTTTTGTTGGCCAAACACCCCAACTTGCTCCACCCTTACACTACTACCTCAACCCACTATGGTGCTGTTTAGTGTAACTTATTGTAAGTTAAAAGTTGATAATCAGAAAGCAGAAGCCGAAAGCACCCCTTCCCCAACTTCTAAATAATCAGTTTTTCTCAGCTTATTTAAGTTATTTCTGCCTAAAAAGTTATAAGCAGAAGCTGCACCAAACAGTCTAGCATAGATTCTCAAATTAAAATAAGTTATAATCACCCCATATAATCCACACCAAACACCCCCCATCTCCACCACCGCCGGCCATCTTACCTCATCAGAAAAAGCTTCGACCCACTCCTCTTTTTTCAAAAATAGCACAAAAGAAGTTTTAACTCTAAATTTTTCTTAACCTCTTGGCATACACTTTATAAGTGCACTTATTTCGATCACATAACCCCTCTTTTTTTTTGTACATATTTTCATAAAAAGTCAAAAAGTATACTTGTTTAGATTATTCCAAATCTATATATTATATAAAGAAAATGGGACTTTTAGGGAGAAACCTTCTAGGAGTTTCAAACCTTCATTCTAAAATTATTAAATTTTGTTAATTTTAAACAATTAAGAAAATTCTTATTGGCTAGCTTTATAGCGATCCTGGTTTTCCCTTTCTGTAATTGTTGTATTCTGGACTTTGGTTCCGCGGTGTTGGTTGTTGTATATCTTGTTGTCATCCTTTAATTTCATATGTTTGAGTTTTAGGATGTATTGGGCAGGGCTATTATAGGTTGGTTAAGCCTTGGTTTCATTTTCTTGTTGCCCAGTTTTTAGGTGGTCCGCTCGAGCGGGTCTTCTTGGGCTCGAGCGGGGTTTACACACTCCCAGTATTTCGTGCCCCTGCAAAACTTCTGCAGGTATGTTTTTCATGCTCGAGCGGGTTTCCTTACGCTCGAGCAGGTATGTTGGCGCTCGAGCGGGTAGTGCTTTGTCTGTGAAAGTTTTGGGAGGGGGAAATCTACGCTCGAGCGGACTGGTTTTTGCACTCGAGCGGATGTACTTTATTCTTGTGTCTTGGCGCTCGAGCGGGCCTTCTTGTGCTCGAGCGTGTCCAGATTTTTGTACTTGACGCTCAAGCGTTCTGTTCTCCGCTCGAGCGGGAGAGTCGTATATCAGTTGACAACTAGGCTATTTTAAATCACTTTTTACATCTCCACTCTCTCTCTTACTTTTAAAAAATGCCATTGAAGAGCCTTTCTCACTAAAACCTCCACTTCTCTCTAGATATTGATCTAGTTAGAGTAATCTCTCACCCTTTGGCCTTTGTAAAAAGTGTGTTGATCGTTGAGGGCTACATTTTGATCCGAGAATTTTGGGATTTGAAGCATCTTCGTTTCTTCATCTTCTTCGTTGGTATTCATCTCTTGAGGTAGGGATTCCTACTCATCCTTATGGGTTTTGACCTAGATATTGAGCATGTTGTTTAAATGGTTTGATTTTAGGACTTAGGGTTTCAAAATGTAGAAAATGGGGTTTGTCATTTTGACTCTTTAATATTTATTTTGGGTCTCAAAATGATGTTATTGTTGTTAGTTGTTGATATTTGACCCTTGGGGTTAATACTGAGAGATAGGGGAGAAAGCCCTAAATTGTGCATAAATTAATTGGTGTAATTAATTTGGAAAAGTTATGGGTTTGTGAAATTGAGTTGAATATAATGAAATTGGCTCATTATGAGATGGGATAGTGGAGTTGAATTTATAAATCATTCACTTTTGAAAATGCGGATAATTTATCTGTTAGTACTTTTATTATCTGTTTAGAAATAATTGTTTTGGGCTACCGGTGGAGGGTAGTCTTGATTGTTGTAAACAACGCATGATGATTAGGCAAACTAAACCTGATCAATTGAATGTGTCATAGAATATGATGGTTGAAATAATACATTAACTTTATGTATTGGTTCAATGTGTATATGATCTATGTTTATATACATTGTGTTGTGTGGGAGGAGATAGGGGATGTACTCCACGGTTTAGGGGAAGATAGGGGATAGACCTCTAAACCGGATAGTGTTTGGGAGAAGATAGGGGATGGACTCCGTAGATACACCTCATATGCTTATCTGTTGAAGCGGTGATACAGCTCATATGCTTATCTGTTGAAACGGTGATACAGCTCATATGCTTATCTGTTGAAGTGTTGATACAACTCATATGCTTATCTGTTGTGAAGTAGGAAATGTTTAATATGAGTTACTGTCTCATTTAAATCGTTTGGCCAGGTTCTAAGCCATAGTTATAAATTGAGAATTGGAAAGGCAATGGAAAATGAAACGAAACATGGACACATTTGTCATGTAATGGAAATGGTTTGTGAATTGATTTATGTGAGTCAAACATTTATCAATTGCTAATGTCTTAGTTACTGCTCATATTATGTTTAGCATATCTCTACTGGGCGTTGGCTCACCCTATATGGGACATTACTTTCAGGTACAGGTAGCATGCCACCTCCAAGGACGTAGCTTGGAAGGCTAGAGGCAGACGGACTGTTTTGTTGTTTTGCTTTCTTTCGATGTGTTACATGTAAA